CCTCCTGTGCTCTCAACTATCCTTTATCTTATTTCACCCACATTAACTGAGTAGATTACAAGTTATGTTGAGGGCATAAAATGTGAATTAATGCCAGTGAATTTATCCATGGGTGGTGGTAAAGTTTATTCATAAATCTGCCAATCTTCACTTTGCTTTGAAATTGAACACACAGGTAAAAAGGATTAATTGTACCCATTCACATGAACGTGTAATAGAGTGGGTAAATAGGTTCTGAAAAAGGATCTGACAAATGTGAATTTTGAAATTTGAATTGAGCTAAATGTCAAAGAATGTTAGAATTCCTTTGGACAAAGTAAACTGCCTCACACTTTCAAGCACAATGCTAATGATCGAGTGTAAAAATAGTCCCTTCCTAGACAATGCGGCAACTCAGATGTTCACAGATTTCGACAATGCAGCATTCATATGTGGTGGTGGGGGCTAGGCGAACTAAAATAGGGAATTCACTTTGCCTCATTAGACATTCAGACAGAAAGCAAATTTTACATACACAATTGTGCTGCTGGGAAGAGTTCAGAAGCAAAGGCGTCAAGTATAAAATCCGGCTTGTCCCTCTATCCACCATATTTGCATTCGCATAATGTGTATATCCCACTCTATTGAAAACATCTTCCAATCATACCACTTACGATAAGGACCCAGATATGTTTGCGGAACGAAAATATTTAGGACATTGTTGGAAAATGCCACTAAGTAAGAATAGTTATGGGATCGAAAAAAATTCCACTTAGTCGATGTCTAATAATTCATTTAGATGCTCATATCCCCTTAATTAAAATCATTAAAATTATGAATTAAGCACGATCTCAATCTTATTACTTATTTTTATGGTAAGTTTATAGGATAATAAAGGTTTTTGAGCATTAATAGATATTATATGCTAATTAAATTGTATTTGAAAGTTTTTTTTACTCAAACACAGACGAGGCGAGGTAAGATGATTGGAGCACTTAAATCTGATTTAAATGAGCACCATTATATAAAGGGTGAAATAATGTCTTTCCAACTCGAGTATTAAAGTCAAGGAAGTACATTTCTGTACAAAATCTTTCTTGATATACTGCAAAATGATCGTTGCTATCGTCTTGATGTCTCTAATTGTTGTCGGCTTCTCTGGACGTAAGTTATCATAATTCTATTTATAACCTGATGGATTACAAATCACAGGCATAGAGGTTGTTGCTGTCAGGTTTAAATACATTTGAAATGGCCATATTCGTTTATTCAAGGCCTCAAGCAGGCATGACGGAATCAATTGATACATTTATTGTCATACTATAGGCTATTAATTTGTCCTAACACGGAATTTTTTCATAATAAGCTTTGGTAGTGATGAATTTTGTCCATTTTTAAGTGCCTTCTACTTCCGACATCCACGGTTCCTTCGAGGACATTTCTAACTTCCCCTATTAGTGCAACATCGTACTAAAAGAAATGAAATTTTGCAAGTCAACACCTTACCAATTGTAGCATAGTCTAAAATAAAATCAATACATAGGAATAGATTACCTAACTCATTGACCAATTTTAGTGATGTTCGCAAACAAGTCACGCATCATGTTGCGTATTACTTTACATTCAGATATATTAAATATTAGTGGATGATTTGATGGCTGTTATGTTATTTGCAAGTTACAATTTGCCCCTTTCCACTTTGTAATAAGCACGTCTAGAATTTTACAAACATGTGTTTTTCAGATTCATCCGCGGACGGGGATCCTTGCCAACTTCCAGTAGATCCTGGGCGATGTAGAGCATTAATCCGCAAGTGGGCCTTCAACTCAACGAGTGGTGACTGTGCTTTGTTCTACTATGGTGGTTGTGGTGGAAATGGAAACAGGTTTAACTCAAAAAAAAAGTGTAGATCTACCTGCCTTCCAAAGAAGTGAATAGAAAGAACGTGGGCGCAAAAATAAGTCTGATCACTTCAATTGTACTGTGTTTGTTAAAGTTTATTAAAATCATCTATCATCAATAAAGCCCATGTTTATATTGCGTAATCAAATTTAATCAATTCCTAATTGAATAGTTTGATTATTAACACCAATCATTTCAGTGAAAGAATTCAGGTGGATATGATAGACAAAGTGACAGCGTGTGGAAAATTTTGAATGTGTCTATTGAAAAAATATCACTTATGCATGAGTATGAGAAGGTTAATTCATAAAGGCATGACTTTTCTTAATTAGTGCTCATTTAAAAGTATTAAAATCGACGTTCACTGGTGTATATCTAACGAGTCTCTCATGTGAGTAGTTTCCTGCTTTCTTTCCTACCACCCAGAGGTAAGCTTTGAGAACACTGCGCATAGTGGCTTTGCCAAGTAGTTATTCACCAAAAATGTGGTGAGTTGGAGTGTATATCAATGCAATTTTTTAGGGCATGGAAATGAATTAATCTTGTTTATTAATTCCCTGATGAACTATAGAAAGTGCCGAGAAGTCCAAATCGATCAAATGGATAAGAAATTTCGACAAGAAGTGGAAAAACATCTTTTATTCGAAAATAAGTATGTTTTAGATTGATGAGAAGTAAGTCATAAAGAGTGGAAAAATGCATTTTCATCTTAAGTATTCAGGAAACAAAGTTCCATTCAGAATCTTAATCAATATATAAAGAGATGATCGCTATCATCAAAAACCTTGGGAGATGTGGATCACTGGGTTAGTAGTTTGGCAACTGCAAGCTTAAGTTGTTCCATTTTGTTTCATAATCATCTCAAATGAACTATGGACATTTTTGAATTGATTGATCATAAGTGTATCATTGAAAGTAGGCTCTTACCCTTCCTGTTGTCAATCTTGTTGTTTGTTTCTTTGCGCTGTCAGCTAGCGTTATCAGAAAGTTTATGATATTTGTGCTAAATACATTCCACTTAGCCAATTGTTTGCTTGATAATCACTTTGCGTTGCTTCTTTTGAACGAAAAATAATGCCACATTTGGTTTTTAAAGTACTTTCTACTTTTATATGTGGATTAGCATTCATTTCGGTTTCTAATCAATGATCGCTACAAATTTCTTCTAGAAGACAAATTATTCCTGCTGTACATATATCAATAACTACATTTTATGAGACAGGTAAAGCCTATATAGAGGCAACAATAAATAAGTATTCTCATTGTGAATACAGTGAGTTCGAATGAACTCCAGCAAGCTGTCAAAGGAACTCCATATGATTCACTAGAAACTGATACCTAATAATGAAAGGCACAAAGATTGTCAACTGTCTACAGGATATGAACATGATTTGGCCCAATTGCCAGTAAATTTTTAAGGCTTTAAGACAGTACCAAAGAACAATCGATAACAACTGAACCAACATTTATGCCTGCTTAAAAGTTATAAATCAGTTCTAAGCAAAGTGGAAACTAGATAGATAGTTATTTTCACTAAGTCAAATGCCAATCAGAGTACCTTGAGGCTTAAATAAATCACAAATTATCAATTCATGGAAGTTCAACTAGCCAATGGTGACTAAAGTATGACCGAACAGTTAGAACAGAAATGTATTCGATAAGTTATAAAGATTGACATTGTGCGAGGAAGAGAATATCTTGAAGATATTCGATATAAACATATATTTATTTCAAATGACATTTCAGTTTGTCATCCGAAATGTTGGCTTTCATAATTGTGAATATGTCTACATCATAAGTTTGTATTATTTTCCGTGCTTGGATCTTTTTGTCCTGTGACATCCCTCCAGCATTCCACTGGAGGATCTGAAGACGTTTTGATTCGCCCTGGCGAAAACGATTTCTCTTATAGCCCTTTTTCAAGCTAATCATAATAAATAGAAGTCAAATCAAATGCCGAGTAATAGACTTTTTGCCGTACGAAGATACGTTGTCCAGGTAATAGACTTTTTGCCGTACGAAGATACGTTGAGGTAAATCTATCGCGCACCCCATATAAAAATATAAACATATAGCTCAACTGACGATTTTTCATCATCTTTCTTCTTCAAAATTTCATTGACTTACAATGTCATTCTTACAGCTTTATCGTTAGATATTTTTAATGATTTTTCATATTTATCTTTGAAAACAATTTTTTGAGATTTGACACAATTTGCCATGCTCCAGTACGCATTTTTGCTTTTAAATAACTTACTTTTTCACATAATTAGTGTTGAAGTAATAAGGATGAATGGTGCTGGCACTGAAATAAAATACGATCTTCGATGTCTTCACAACTGAAAGGAAAATTAAGAATCTAATGTGGAACCAAATGGACAAATGAGATTCCGTTTTGTGGGGACCATTTGCATCACCTGACTAATTCATAAAATTTTTCATCTTGGGCAAAATCAGATGATGTCTTTTATAACTAGCTGATTTTAAGATATCACCTTGCTGTTGTTGGCGGTTTGTTTGAGAGTGAGGAAGAACATAAAGAGGCCATTATTTGCAATTGACACTTGTTTTGACATTATCAACATTGAGGTAAACCATTCTAGTTCCCAAATTAAATTAGATCTTAAAGTTTCACAAGTGCCCATCATGACAACCCTTCCACTTGCAAGTTTCAACGATAGCGGGGGCATATTTGCAACTGTGATATGAAATTTTGCCTGACTGTGTGTGTAGTGAAAAATGAATGGATATAAGAAGGCATTAAATAGTAATAAGCTACTTGTGAAAGGAATTCTGTAAATTGATCTGCAAGAACTCTGTTTGATTCTTTTCTCTGTTACTTTCATTTTCACCTAACCTACTTGATATTTGAAACACCGAGCATGCGATCTCCCGTTGAAATTGCGCTATGATGAACCGATTAAGTGCCAAGAAATTTATCAAGATCCTTTCTCTTATAATGGTGCTGCCTAAACAGATTTTTTTATGTGTTTATCAGTGCAATATAAAAAATGGGAAATTACTAGTAACTTGAATTATTTTGAAAAAGTTGGTACGAATTTACTGGCCATAAATTTTGCTTAGTTTTCGATTTAATTCTTACGGAATTAAGCTCGGAAATCCCGCATAAATGATTCATTAAAATTGGCACCGATTATGATAAAGAAGATAGCTCCATTATAGACCATTCGAGATGCACCTGCAATGTGAATGTGAACAAAAACCCTTTCAGACTTACAGAATTCAATTTGTGGTCGCCAACTATTATTTAAAATTCAATCTTTCTTCCTATGTGGAACCAGTAACATTGGGTTCTCTTTTTGCCCATTTATAGAAAGGAGCACTTTTTTCCTGTTTCACCACAAAATTTATCTTCCAATAGCTGATTTCAGATCTCAGCTTCTGCCCCAATAATTGGAGAGTATCATGAGCCAATTTTGAACAAGACATCTTATATTGATATAC